GCCACTATGCTCAGCTTGGTTTTCTTATTTTTTATTAACTACATCAAGTCAGTGAAGAGACATTTAGAGGATAGTCCCTCTACCTTCTATGAATATTAGCTATCTCTTATATTATTTGGGCTGGGAAAATAGGCTCTCCCTTGGGCCAGGCCTCCAGCTTACACACACAGGTGCCCCTGCTGTCCTCCAGGTCTCAACTGAGCCCTCTGCTCCTGGCCCCCACGCCAGATCCTAAGCCTGAGCCCCAGACCCCCATGCTAGATCCTGAGCCTGAGCCCCAGCCCCTCATGCTAGATCCTGAGCCTGGGCCCCAGCCCCTCATGCTAGATCCTGAGCCCCAGCCCCTCATTCTAGATCCTGAGCCTGAGCCCCGGCCCCTCATGCTAGATCCTGAGCCTGAGCCCCAGCCCCCCATCCTAGACCCTGAGCCCCAGTCCCCCGTCCTAGACCCTGAGCCCCAGTCCCCCATCCTAGACCCTGAGCCCCAGCCCCTCAGCCCTGGTAGGGAATCCAGGAGGGCCTGCCGCCGCCTCTTCCAGCCCTAGTCAGTGTCCTAACCCCCACCCCACCCCAAGCCCTGGCGCATTGCACCCAGTTTACCAGGCTCTGCCTCAGGTCTTGCGCCTGGAATCGCCACATACAGAGGCTCAGGTGTGAGCTGTTCACTGCTGTCCAGCCCACGCCCAGCCCTCTCTCCCATATCTCCCTCCACCTTATTTCCTGTGCCCTTCAGCCCCCATGGCCACCCTTCTCCACAGCCTCTGCCCTGGCCAGCACATTAGTGCCCTCGGATACGACACACCCAATACAGCCAAGTGAATTTTGCATGCTTAGGTTTTTAAGTGATGGGCTGTAGAAACAGTTCCTTTTCTCTATCGGTCAATAAATGTTTAAGGTTAATAAATGTATACAGTGGAAAAAATAAATAAATAAAGATGTATGGTATTTCATATAATAGAATAGAATGAGACTTTTACTTATGAAAATCATTCCAGGACCAGGAAAAATCATACTGGGTAAATAAAATTTTCTACACACAAAATATATAGATATGCAAGTTGGGAAATGACTTTCAGAAGAGAAGATAAGATTATAGATGGGATTTGAGTTTATTTTTGCTTACCTTCAAACATGGCTTGTTTTATTTTGTTTCCTATTAGGGTACAGATAGTACTAAAAATTTTATTCTGGGCCATGTATAATTTCTCTAAATTGATGGCTGTCATAAAGCATCATGAGTGGCTATATGAGTTTGTTCGTTTTGTTCATTTGGAGAGAATTTCAATTTAATTATACAGTGTTGCCATTTTTATAGAATAAAATCTGAAGACTGATGCAATATGGTTATCTGGTGAGGATATTACCTACAGTGAATATATTTACGGATGAATATATTATGTTATGATAATGAAAAGCTTTCTTAATATTAGTTATCAATGTGAGAGTAATGTCAAATGAAAAAAAAAGGCTAAATTGAGTCCTGAATTTCCTATATCTGGTAATTTATTTTTGGAAAAATATGCTTACTATTTCAAATTCAACAGCTATACAAATAGATTTTGTCATTAGATGAGTGTGCCTTTCAACTGAGTCCCAAATATATAGGATATTCATAAATATTTGGTACTACATGATTTTTTATGACTCAAGAATTTACGACTTTTACAAAACCCATACTTTTACCCTACATTTTAGTCAAGTCAGTAGTATAAGCCATTTATATAAAATATACTCATTATATTTATATACTACATACCAACAGATGGAGACTACACATTGATTTCAAGGGAGCACCATTAACACCAGATATGTGGAGATATGTGGTAAAAAAATAGTTCTGTTTACTCAAAATTCTATGAGCACTAGGCATGACCAGTCCTTTAATTAAAAAACAAACAAATAAGGGCCGGAGATTTAGCTCAGTGGTTCTGCCACCTGCCCCGTAAGCATAAGGACCCGAGTTTGATCCCCGGTACCCTCCAAAAAACAAAAACAAAACAACAAACGAAAAAATAAAAACCAACAGGGGTGGGGGAATCAGCTAGTGCTTCTCTCCTTGAGTTACCTGTCTGCAATCAATCTTTCATATCTTCATTTTTGTGCAGTATGTTAACTATAAGCAGAATGATTATATCAGTCAAATGTAATACTTATATTGGTATTAACACCTGATTATTAATGCAAAAGTTCATGGAAAGTCAGGTTAATCTGAATAATATATCATTTCCTTTTAATCTACAATCTATCATTTCACAAAACATGGTTGATAGAATGCCAAAAGTAAAAAGACCTGCTTAAATGAAAATGCATAATATATCTTCATCTCATTTATATCTTACTGTGTTAGGCAGGCTAACATTAGTTCATCTGTGAATGTGATACAAAGGAGATGAAGTATTTTGTTGTTTGGAACACTTCAAGTTTCCTTCTAAACACCGAAGTTCTAAAGGTTTGCTATTATTTAAATATTCCTATTTTGATGATTTATTAAACTTATAGGATTTGAAAGGAACAGTAGAAAGAAGTAATCTATGTTTGTTTAAAAAAACTCAAATTCTGTCCCTATTCTCTTGGTTTTTAGAAAATAAAAAAAGATATTATTTGCTTATCCTAGTGAAATAGATTTCAGTTGCCTGGATCACAAATACTCTAGATGGCTGTGGTCACCTATTCAAATACTTTGACCTAGATGGGGGGGGGGGACCTAGTTTCTTATCAAGACAGTGGGGAGTGATATTTATGCACAATGGAATTCTACTCTGCTATAAAGGATAAATCTTAGTTATCTGTAAGAAAATGGATATACCTTGAGACTATAATGTTAAGTGAAATAAATCAGATACACACAAAGGTTAAATATCACATGGTTTCTCTTATATGAGAAACCCAAAGTGTAAATAAATAAAAGAGCAAAATAAAAGATAGATAATAGGAAACAGGGAGATAGATCTTTTGCAAATGGGAAGGAGACCAAGAGATGAAAAGAGTGGGGAGGGAGAGAAGGGAAGGGGACTTAAAAAGAATTGAGATGTGTTATGACCATTATGTACTGCAAGCACATACTAATAAAAATAATTTTTTTTTTAAAAAACTTCTGGGCCAGGGATTTAGCTCAATGGTTCTGGTGCCTGCCTTGCATGCGCAAGGACCCGAGTTCAATCCCCGGTACCAAAAAATTTTAAAAAATAAAAAAATAAAAAAACTTCTGGTTCTATGGCACAGGCCTTGAGAGGCAGAGGCGGGAGGATCGCAAAGAGTTCAAGGCCAGCCTCAGCTACAAAGTCAGTTCAGGGCCAGCCTGAACACAAAGCAAGACCTTATCTCAAACAAACAAACAAACTAACTTCGGTTCTAGTGGTCTACTTTCTCTGAATCTTTGACCTCCACCTTCATTTCTCCTAAGGATGCTCCTTTTTTCCATGTAGAAACAATAAACTGGACAGCAACCTGACTTTATCCCCTTTCTGCTGCTCAGTTTCACTTAATTAAGGCTGTGATTGTAGTAAACTTAATGGAACATTTGGGAGGAAGGTAAGAGAAAGATTACTGTATAAATGAGTATGATCATGTATGCCTGGAATCCCAGCACTCCAGGAGGCTGAAGCAGAAGGATCAAAAGTTTGAAGCCAGCTTTAGCAATTTAGGAATTTAGGGAGATCCTGTTTGAAAAAAATGCAGGGAGAGGCTAGGAAGGTTGCTTGGTACAAAGGCGCTGGGTTCAATCTCCAGTACTGAAGACAAAAAATTATAAAATAGTACATACAGGAAATACCTTAAAATTACCTATTAACTATCTCTAGGGCCGGGGATTTAGCTCAGTGGTTTCACCGCCTGCTGCAGAAGTGCAAGGACCCGAGTTCGATACCCGGTACCAAAAAAACCCCAACTATCTCTAGTTTTAAAGGCAATTTTGCATTTGTACCACTAGGAAATCCTATTTCTCATCTCTCTGCACCTCCAGCTTCCTGCAACATTGCTGACCAGCTTTATCTCTGACCTCCCTCAACTCTTAATGTTACCCTCTCCCATTCCAAGGCTTTGTTTGCTTCCTTCACAGAACTGTTCATAAAAGCTCTGCTTGGATGGAGTTACTTGAAAGTCATTTTCAAACTAAACACTCCTTAAGGTACATTTCTGGCCAGTAAAGACAATTATTTCAAGACCAATTCTACAGTTATCAGCTTTTTTCCCCTCTCCTTCTAACATTAGGTAGTAATTTAGAAATTCAGAACTTAGAATTTATCTAAGATGAAAGAGACCAGCAGACAGTAAAAATTTGGAAGAATAATTAAACTTATAATAATATCCAACTATTTTCTGTTATGGATGAAGAAACTGAGGCTTAGAGTTTGGGAGCCTTGCTAGATGTTTAAGAGCACTTTCAAGCAGCAGTTAGATATGTGAGTCTCATCCAGGACCTGTGTCCATGATCTCATGAACAACTCAGTTTAAGATCCCAAACAGCATTTCAACTCTGTGCATTTAATTCTTAACTGTTTTGCCAGCAAAGGTCTCACAGGAAAGAATACAAGAATATTGCACACCTAAATCATATTATCCAGATACTCTAGTATGTTCATTCATATTTTAGTGCTATGTTAACCATTCATGTATTATTAATTCTCTAATTTCTAGGCATAATGTTGATGTTATAAAAGGCAGTTTTTATATGCATTAATTAAATTTTTTTGAAGTCTCTGTCAGAAACAAAATCTAGACTGCAGTCATTGTCTTCTGATCCACAAAAGAATGAATTGGTTAAATTCCTCATGTTTCTTGAAAAATCAAGGGTGTGGGAAAGACTGCCATGGGAAATGGAGAGAGAAAAAGACAGGGATATGGCTGTAGTAGATGAAGATACAAATAGATTTATTATCAAAAGAGTCATTGACATACACAAATGTTAATTTTACAAGAGAAAAGTAGAATTAAGTACCACTAGTAGAAACTGAATACCCTCATAACAAATTGGGTTTATAGCACTTCTGCCCTAAATCTGATATGTCAAATATCTTTAAAAAGTTTACAAATGTTAAAAATTGTGAGTAATAAATCTGAGAGTTTTAACTGAAATGTCTAGCTGAAAGAAGCATATGAGATAAAGAGAAAAATATATCCAAACCACTCTTATTCACAGAAAGGAAGAAAGTCTTCAGCAGAATTCAGACATTCAGCAACAAACTTGGCTGTAAACATTTGTTCAGTCAAGAGGATAAAGTGAATGCTTCTGTGAGACAGTAAGCAGATTTTAGGGTTCTGGTCTTTGAAGTTTGAAATATTTCCCCAGAACTTCCACAGTCTTCTTTCTCTGTCATCTCACAGAAAATCACAAAAGTAAATTCTCTTCATTCCTTTTTTCTGTTACCCTGTCAAAAATACACACTGAGTGATAAAGCCTACTAGTGATTCATTACATACCATCAACCAAAGGTTTCCAGTATAAATGCCATTTTAAATGAGCCTCTTCTGTTTTATTAATGCTTAACAGACATTTACTAGCAATGACGGTGCCACATGATTCTTACCATATCATACCACTAAAATCCAGATGTCTCTGCATGGACAGAAGCAAAGGCACCAGCCCCCTGGGGCTTTTCCTCCATTCTCATTTCTCTAGCAATTGGCTGAGCTGGGATTCATTTGACAGCAGAAATTACTGCGTGTGGCTCTTCTTTTCATATTTCCCCTGTCCTCTAAAGATTAATTTCATTCTTTTCCAGTCTTTTTCTCCAATCTTTGTCTATTAAAAGAATAAAGGGAAAAAAAAGAGAAAAAGAGGAAGAAAGAGAAAGAAGACAAAAAGGGGAGGACATTCTGGTGAATGAGAATTTAGGTTGAGGATCTATTTTTATTTTTAAATATCTTAACATGGAATAAATAGATTAAAATGATACACATTTTAATTCTTGGTATTTTATATTTAAGTATCCCATGTAGTCCTTTCCTGAAGCCCTATTCTTCCCCAAAGCCTACATCCTAAGCATTAAATAATTCATCTACCAATACTGTAGTCAACAGGATTGCTAAGAGTCCTGGTCCATGTCAATGAACTCATGTACAATGAAGATACTGCTCAGTTTGGGTTTGCTCTGTTGGTCTTGCATTCAAGAAAAACTCTAAAATGCCTTTCTTTTTGAGACACTGTAGGAAGGAGCTGGGACCTGGGCTTGCTTTTGGGGGCATCTGGCTGTTAGGATGTGTCTTCCCTGGATGTACTCACTTTGGGTCCTGAACTAGAATTGCTAGTTCTAAGGTAAGAGATTAGGACTGTGGCAAAACCAGTCAAACAACTGGGCAGAATCTATCAAAATCATGGAGACCTAAGGCATATGTCTAGAATACAGGATCCAGGATGACTCTGCAGCTCCTAAGCAATGTACATGGAAGCAATCAGAAAAATGCTATTTTCACTTCTTTATTTACATAGGTCACAAAGCCAAGATAATCTTTCAATTGGACAGTTTAAATCTGGTTCCAGGCCAAGAGTTTTTGATAGGACAACCATCTCAATGCCTTATTTACTTGAGGGAGAAGCCAATTCAGGAATTCCAGATTCAAAAGACCCTTTTTCCCCTATCCTCGGGGCTATTGTGAATCTGTTCACTGGCACACTCTCACTCTGCAGAGTGTACTTATTTTCCACCTTCAATAAGTGTACATCCCCTGTACTTTTTCAGCATGTCTTGTTCATTCATTATTCAGGATACCAAGAACTTGGAAAGAATTCTGCTAGGACCAACCTTCTGATAACATTTTCCTGGTGAGACGGCAGGAGATAAAGCTCCCCTGGGCATTTTTTTCTTTTTTCTTTTTATCTCTTCTCTTTCCTGGTTTGAATTGGTTTGGTTTGGTTTTTTGTCACTCATTCCAGGCACAAGTTGGACCAATAGTCAGAATTTCTATGCACCAGGGAATTTCCATGTGTGTCTTTTTTGCTTCCACACTTTTGTTTTCCTGATGCTTTATTCAATTTTCTCATTCTTTTGGGGGAGCAATAGGTATCAGTAATTTGGTCTCCTGCTTTAGCAGCCACCTACCCCAGCCCTGCCCTTTTTTAAATTCCATGTGGTTTTTTTTGTTTTGTTTTGTTTTGTTTTGTTTTTTGGTACTGGGGATTGAACGCCTTGTGAAGCAGGTGGGGCAGGCAGCCAAACCTTGGAGCTAAATCCCTGGCCCAGCCTGCCCTTTTTTGTGCTCACCTTGATCAAAGCCTCATTATGGCATTGGCCTATTATCTCTAACTATTCTTAATGAGTCATTTGCTTCAGGGCCTCATTTCCTAAAACCTCAGGGAGACATTCCAGTTCACCTTTCTGCTTTGTTTCCCTAGTGTTCTCAAGGACACCAGGAAATCTCATTCTTAGATAAGAGCTATGGTTTCCCCTTTTGTGGAATACATGGGCCTTGTCCCTTCCTTCTGGGTAGATCCCCTCCTTGTTTCTTTTAAGAAAAATTCAGGTAATTTAGAAACATGTGCCTGAAGGTCTGAGCAGAAGAAAGGAAATAGACAATGAAAGTCAACCTAACTGGGAGAGTGTGTGGAAGTAGTGCTAGAGTATTTTGGTCAATAGATAACAGACTTTATCTTTGTACTTGGAACCTTCCCAATTTTCTTAATTATCCAATAAATGCTTATTGGATGAATGTGGTAGAAAGGTTTATTGGGTGAGAAATTTAAAGGGGATTGAAAAAGATGACTACCAAATTCCTTTACAAGCTATCAATCCCTTCCATGTTCATGACACCTGTAATTTCAATGTGGTTTTCAACCTGACCTTTTGATCAAAACGTCCATCTGACTGTTACACAACTTCCCTTATTAGCTGAGTTGGCATCTCACCTTCTATACAGATACTCTTTAACTTATGATAGGGTATAAACCCAATAGACTTACTGTAAATCAGAAATATTCTAAGGTGAAAATACATTTAGTACAATTAAGTTACCAAACATCTCAGCTGAGTCACATAGTACACCGACGCATATCAGTTGTTTACCCTGTGAATGTGTAGCTCACAGGAAGCTGTGGCTTCTTACCGCGTCAAGTATCAAGAAAGGGTAAAGCAAAATTCAATATTGGAAGTATAGTTTCCAGGAATGTATATCACTTTGGAACCACTGTAAAAGGAAAAACCCATGAATTGAACCACTGTTAAAGTCAGAACCACCTATATGTCCCAAATCAACTTCCTTTCCCATATAACTGTGCCACCTTTCTAATTTCCTCTGTTAATGATACCATCCTCCTTAGGGACCACTGTTGGCACCTGTCTTCTCTCTAAAATCAGTCATTGTCTATTCCTGTGGATTCTTCTTTAGAGATTGTTTTGTTTTCAATATTCTGTCTGTTCACAATCTCCATCAAATTCCTATGATGCTCATCCCTACTTACTTCATTCTAACCTGCATGCTATAAGTAATGCCATCTCCCTCCCACTCCAGATCAGGAAACATTTGTGCGTTATGGCTTCAACTCCTAGGACTTTCAACACAATGTTTGCTAATAGCAGGGGTTCAACAACTTCGTGGCATGGCTGGATAAGTGTTCAAAAGAAAGGTTTAAATTATTTTAGCGGTATGAATATTTTTACACTTTTTTTGGTCATCATCGTTTCATAGTAAAGGGCATAAGAAACAGAAAATGCATATTTTAAAATAAAACCTACATATATTGTAACTCGGAGTTTGTTGCAACAACTGGCTGTAGTTTTAATTTAAAAAGAAAAGAAACACGCTCCTGTATTAAAAAAAAAATTTCCTCAGCTCCCACCTAAAGTCTTCCAGTATTCAGGTTTCCCACCCCTTGCAGTGGCCTGACGTGTGGCGGGAGGAGCGATGAGCAAGCCTGCCCCGAAGAACAAGGAAAGAACGGGATGGGGGAAGTCCCGGAAGTCACTGACCAGAGCAAGCCGTCGCCGCAGCGGGATCACTCTGGGCTCCAGTCCCAACAATAACAGGCGCTAGAACTGGGCGGGGACCACCCCGGGGCCGGAGCTTGGGGGCGGGACTCGGAGTGGGGGAGGCGGGTGGCACGCTGCTGTAAGCCGAAGGCGATTGGAGGAGGCAGATAAGGGGCGGTGGCGCTCAAGAGGTGGGCCGGAGAGCTAACGGGTCGACCGAGGAGAGAACGTGCCGATTGGGTAATGAGGAAGGTGACGGACCGGAGTGGAGGATGGATTGGTCAAAACTGGCCGAGGAGGCGTGGCCAGCGCACTTGCGAGCGGGCGGCCGGCCTGCCTGCCAGCTAGTCAGCCGCGGGCGAACGCGGCGAGCTGGGGTCCGAGCTAGGAGCACGGCGCGAACGGCGGCGTGTTCCTCTGCTCCGCCGCGGCCGCCCTTGGCGGCCTGAGCACCGGCTTCCTTCCCTCCCCTCCCCTGCGCTCCCGCCTGGGGTCTCGGGGCGGGGAGCGGAGGGAAGGGACAGAGGAGGAGGTGAAAGAGGGGTGAGGGGCGGAGGGGTCCCGGTGCGGGGCGAGGCGTGCGCTGCCTCGCTTTCTAGCGTGCTCTCTCTCCGGCCGGGTGCTGCGGCCCCGGGGCGCGCCGGGCTCCGGCCGCCCGCACTATGCAGGCGGACTGCTGGTCGCCGCGATGGCGAGTTGGGCGGTGCTGAGAGCCAGGCGCAGCTCGCAGTGTCCTCGAGTCCGGGCCGCAGTCGCTGCCCCCGCCCTGGCCGCGCTCCCCTTCTCCCGCTCCCTCCCTCCCGGCTCCAACTCCTCCTCCATGCCTCTGTTCCTCCTGCTCCTACTTATCTTGCTCCTGCTGCTCGAGGACGCCGGGGCCCAGCAAGGTGAGTGGTCCCCGTGGAGAGCGCCGCCCCCGAAGTCCTGCACTGGGGCGCCTCATCTCTTAGCTCTTCGGCGGATCTGCAGACGCGGGGAGGTGCGGGACAACTCGTGCTTGGCCAGACCTCGAGGACGCTCGTGGGGTGGAGTTGCAAAGGTGGGCTCTGCATTCCTGTCTCCCGAGTTGGCGCGGCTTTTAGGTTTTTACAAAGCCAATCATTTATCTGGAAAGAAGATACCTGACACCCTGCAGTGGAAGCCTCCATCCTTGGGGAAATTTTGGGGAGCAAAAACTTTTGGAGATAGGACCCCTAAAGTTAAGCCACATAGGTAGATGGACATAATAGGAAGGCAAGAAAAATAAATAGCATCTTAAATCTCGTCAAGACTGATAATTATGTTTTATGAAAGTGATCCGGGTTCTTAGCGAATAAGAGGATTGTGGTGATTTGTTTTGTTTTGATTTTTTGTGTGTGTGTGTGTGCCGGGGATCGAACTCAGGACCTTGCGCTTGCGAGGCAAGCGGCAGAACCACTGAGCTAAATCCCTGGCCCAGTGGTGATTTCTGAGCTTGGACTCGGAACATGTTCTTTACAGTTCCTGGCTATTATTGAGGATAGTTGTGTGTAGATTGCCTTGCTCAAGCACTGTGACCCAGGGTAACATACGATGTTCCCCAAATGCAGCGTTGCACATTAAAAGGGTAAGACTTTCCAGAAAGTTATACAACTGTTTGGGTCTACAGCCCTTGAAAAACTCATCTCAGAAGCGAGCAAAACTGTTTATTGAATAATCATCAGAATGGAAAGCTAATGCACTTTTTATTTTGTAGTGTTGTCAGGCAGTGTATCACAATTTTTGAATCAGTTTGGCATCAGCTATTGAACACATTTTTCCTTTACTTTTCTCATTTTATCGCAGTGGGAAGCATGAGGATTGGATTGTTACTTCTTGCTGGGAAGATTTTTTTTTAAATTGATCTCCACGTTTAAGTGCAGCTTAATGTTGCTGTCATATGGTTTTCAGTAAAGTATGCAATCATGGCCATGAGACTGTCATAGAGAAGATGCTGAAACTTTTGACAGCCATGTGGAAATGTAATCTCTGAGGGAAAAAAATGTATTTTGGTGAACTGAATTCTACAGATGTTGTAGCACATTTCTACAGTGTAACTTGAAATTTAGATGCTTAGCATGCAGGTTTCATCGATATTTAACATTTTGAGTGTGAAACTCTGTGTTGAAGTTTTAGAGTCTTTGCATGCATTTCTTTCTAGTAGGGGGTGAAGAGAAATAGGTTTATGTAAGGCTGAAAATGTAGACCTTCCTTTGTGTCCAGAACTGGATTAAGTGGTTTATGTAAATTAACTCAAGTAATCCTCATCACAGCCAGGAAGGCAGGTATTGATACCCTATTTCAAATATAAGGAAACCCAGAAATAAAGAATGTAAGGTACCTTGATAGAGAAATGAGTATGATTACATAAAATAGACCCTGTTTTGCTTATTTCTACGTCTATGTTTACATCATGTTTTTAAAAATTTTTGCAGTGAAGAAAGCAATGTGTCTCCCTTCCCAAGTTAGATCCTTCCTTGCCTTGCTTTGAAATTTTCTCTTGCCTAATCAGACATGAAATATAGCCACATTTTAAAAGGCTTTATATCACTTTTTTGCCAGAGCATTTAAACAAATATTTTATTCTTTCATAGCATCCTCTTATATACACATTATTGTAGAGGAGCACATCTTTCTAAAGTAAAATTACAATAGTTATTAAAAGACTATTTTTTTATTCATTAATTTTATTGGTACATTTTAGGTATATGAAACACTGACATTCATTATTGGGAATTTGTGCCTTTACATAATACATCTTGGTTCTTATTTTTTCCTCATTCCCCTGCCCTCCATTCAACCCCTCCACCCCTCCCTATTACAAAGACTTTGTTTCCATTTTTTCCTTTTTTCATATTTATTCCTTTCCCTTCTCCTCTACCCGTCCCACTTCCACTTCCCCTTTGGACCTTTTCTTCCTATTTCACATTATCTGTTATGCCTTTTGATCTTTATTTACACTTGCAGTTTCTCACACCAGAGAAACTATTCAGTATTTAAATGTGTGTCCCATTTATTTCACTTAAAGAGTATGGCCTCAGTATGCATCCATTTAGCTATAAGTGTCTGTAGTTTCTCATTCTTTATGGCTGAGTAGTACATTTTATTAAAAAACAACACTTTTAAAAGACTAGATTTTTTAAAAAATTGATAAAAAATTTTTAAAATTGATTTTTGTCATTTAATCCCTCTTAAACTCAGTTTTCTACATTGTTCAAACAAGAATGAATACTTGTTTCATAGCTTAATGAAAATGAAATGATAGTATGCAGGAATTTTGCAAGGACAAGCACAGTTTAGTTATAAATGATCATCGTTAATCCTGAGTTACCAAGTTTGTAAATTAAAGGCTAGTTAGTTAAACATCATCCTGAATTCCTGAAAACTGAGGAATTATGTGGGATTTGAATTTCCTAATTTTTAAAAAGTACATTTCTTACCTAAAGGACCCTAATGCAGTCTGAGATGGAATTCCTTTTAACCCAGTCTTACCAGCCCAACAGATTGCTTCAAGGTATACCGATATATTTTCTCACATAACCTGAGAAGCAATCTCCTTTAAAAATGAGAAGCAGTGCTTTCAAATACTTGACAGAATTTTTAATAATGTGAACTTCCACATGTTGTATAAGGTGTAGTATTTATTCTCTTTAAGACGTTTTAAGATAGAAGTAAATATATTAACTGTTGTCTTTTGGTGGTAGAATTATGGGTTCTTACACTTTTTCAAATTTTTGCATATTTGCATATGGTCAGAATAAAAAATAAACTGAAGAATATTTTTTTGTTTTTTGGTACTGGGGATCAAACTCAGGTCCTTCCGCTTGCGAGGCAGGCAGCGGAACCTCTGAGCTAAATCCCAGCCTCTGAAGAATGTTTTCTGATGAATTTTTTTTTTTCTCAGCCAGCATAGGTAGAAATGCACATCAGGTATTTGTTCAGGTAGAACTGTGCTACAGGGTTGGTTTATTTTATTTTTTAAAAGTTTTGCCAGCATCAATTTGAAATAGCAGAATATATTATCTTCATTCCAATTAATTCCATATACAGTTACAGCAGAATATATTACTTTCTTTCCAATTAGTGCCATATTTTGCTGTTCCTCATCAGATTTTCTGCTGACAGTGATTTTTCTTTTTACTTGTTTCAGAATAAAATTTATCATTGGTTTGAAAACTTGTTGACCATTCACAGTAGTGACATATTTTAACCATTCTTGTTTCACTAATTTATAGATTGTGCTTATTTTATACCTGTTTGATGTTAGTGTTTTAGATATAGATTATATGTATATATTTTTGAGTTCTAAATTTGAAATCTTCAAAATCTCTTCTTGAAAACTTTTTTTCTGTAAATACATACTTTTCAGTGCTTGAGATTGAACCTAGAGCCTTGTGCGTGCTAGGTAAGATGCTCGCTGCCATTGAGCTACACCTCAGCCTTTTTTACTTTTTACTTTGAGAGGGGTTCTTGCTAAGTTAGCCATGTTGGCCTCCAGTTCCTTCTGCTTCAACCTCCCAAGTAGCTGGAGTTACAAGTATGTGCCACTACACCCTTTTTATATATCTGTCTAAAAATCTTAAATTGGTGAAATTATGGTATTTGTATATTTACTACTGTAATTTACTTAAAGTGGAAGTCGATCTATTGTGGAATTTATGTCTCCAGTTTACATTAGGGCTAGGAATTTAGGTTTCTTCATCTTAGCAACTTGCTTTGCTCATTCCTCATGGAATGCCGGCCTACCCTCTGGGTTGGAATGTGATTTGATTGTGGTGAAATATCTGGAAATTAATTTTAAACACTTATTAAGACTGACTTGTTTATACCTATTAATATAACATTTATGAAGGTATTGATTTTTGTTAATTTAATAAATTTATGAAACAAATTAGTTTCATTCATAAAAAGAATAATTCAGTTCTACAGTTATATTTGGAATTAATAGGTGAAAAAAGTGTAGAATATTATGTAATAGCTTTACTTACTTGTGATGCAGGGAAATAATTTTCGAACAGTTATTTGTGACTTTGTCAGTGATGAAAAACTTAGTCCTATTTACAAAGAAACATTTGTAATTATTTCTAATATTTTTCAATGTCTTTTCTTGGTTTGATAAAATATAAGAACTTTTATGTATAGCTTTATTTAGAGGCAAAAAAATCAGACCATCCTTTTCTGCTATATTTCTGATTAATTTTGCACAGTGAAAATTAGAAACATAGCACACATTCCATGTGTGGTAATGATTGGATTTAAAAATCCATATTTTTGAAACTTATGAATGAAAAAATGATTATGAAGTTAGAGACAAATGATATTTAGTTAAATTTCTCAATGTTATAACCAAAACAAAAACTTTATTTCCCTCTGGAGTTGGTAATTCTTTTTGAACACGTGAGCTTCATTCTGTAAGACCAACAACCAACATGGAAAAAAAAAAAATCTTAAGATGGTGAAATTGATGCAAGTACCAGTACTAGAGTTAAAGCGACAGATGAATGGATTGATTTCTGAAAGGACATAATCAGATCATGTGTAATGAGAGGAGGCTAGGTTTACATAAGGATATATTTTAAATTTAAGAACTACACTAGCAAAATGACTCAGATGTGAAAACTGAGGTAGTTAGATTGAGCATTAATTGAATGTGTGCAAATAGGCCATGTCTGCTTCCACTTCTAGATTAGTTGCAGGGAAATGAAATGATGACATAAGAGTAGAAGGACTGGGAAAAGCTTCATAACGATAATTTTTCCAAAGTGTGATTGTTGAGATACAAAATGAGATGATCTGGCAGGTTTTCTTGAGTGGCTTCTAGATAGGGTTTCTTTGTAACAGCATCAGAGCACTTTGTATGTATTTTTTAAATGTTTCACACATGACAGTG